CCCCAGTTCACTTTGCTATGCATCTCTTATTCTGGACTGCTGTCATACAATTAATGCCTAATCATATATTCCTTTTAAACAGTTCTTTCATTTGTTTCAGTGCAGTGTTCATTATTTATCTCCTCATTTCTTAGTATTCCCTGCCCCCATGTCTGTCTCGTTTTATAATTGTGGTTTTTATACAGTATTTATCCTTTTGTGACTGAGATATTTCACTCAGCATAATGTTGTCTAGGGTCAACCATGTTGTGTAATATTTTATGAGTTCCTTGGTTTTCAGTGCTGCATAGTATTCCATCATGTGACTATGCTATAGGTTTTCTATTCATTCATTTATTGATGGGCACTTGGGTAGATTCCATCTCTTTGCTATTGTGAATAACACCGCAATAAACATGAAGGTGTGCATACATTTGTTTGGGTAGAAGCCCTGGTTCCTTTAGGGTATATTCCTAGTAGTAGAATTGCTGGGTCAAATGATACTTCTATTTCTAACTTTTTGAGCAAGTGCCAGACCACCTTCCATAGTGGTTGTATCAAATAGTGATATAATTTAAAGGGGAAAAAAGAGTGATAGAAAATATTGGAAAATCAACCACTTTAATTCATAGTCATTGTTGTTGTTGTTAGGTGTCATAGAGTTGAGTATGACTCATAGTGACCCTATGAATAGTGCATCTGAACCCTGTCCTATACTGTGCCATCCTCACACTTTCTGACACACAAAAGCCCATTGTGACAGTCACCATGTCAGTCCATCTGGTTGAGGATCTTCCTCTCCATCGCCAATCTTTCCTCCCTTCTAAGCTTCATGTTCTTCTCCTAGCAACATGCCTGAAGTATGTGAGGCAAAGTCTTATCATCCTTGCCTCCAAAGAGCACTCCAGCTGCACCCACCAAGACATATTTGTTTGTTCTTTTTGCAGTCTGTGGGATGTTCAGTACTCTGCTCCAAAACCACAACTCAAAGGCATCAGTTCTTCTTCTGTCATTCTTATTATTTGTCTGTTCTTGGATGCACAGCAAGTGATTGTGCAAAAGCAAAAGACCATGGCCTTTTCATCAGACGCCCTTTAGTCCTCAAATTGACATCATTACTCAATAATTGGGAGTGGTCCCTAACTGCAGACTTTCCCAGTGCAATGCTTATTTCCTTATTTCCTGACTGCTTGTACCAAGGGTGTTAATTCTAGATCCAAGTAACATGAAGTTGTTGACAATTTCAATCTCTTCTCCATCCACCATGGTTCTATCAGTCCAGTGGTAAGAATCTTTGTTTTCTTGACAGTAAGATGCAATTCATATTGAAGACTGCATTTCTTGATCTTTTGTAACAAGTGCTTCAAGTGCTCACTTTCATCAAGCAAGGTCATATGATCTGAATGACACATGTTATTGATGCGTCTCCCTCCGATCCTGACACCACATTCCTCTTTACAGAGTGCAGCTTTTCCAATTCTTTGCTCAGCATACAGATTGAATAAGTATGAAAGAGAATACAATCCTGACACCCTCCTTTCCTAATTTTAAGATATATATCATTTCCCTGATCATTTCGCACAACAGCCGCCTGGTCTAGGAATACTGGTCTAGATATAGGTTCCACATGAACACAATTAAGTGCTCTGGGACTCATATTCTTCTCAATTTCCGTCACAACTTGTTATGATCTGCACAGTCAAATGCCTTTGCACAGCCAATGAAGCACAAATAGACATTCTTCTGGTACTCTCCGAAATTAGTAATGATATCCCTGGTGCTATGACCTCCTCTAAATCCTGCTTGAAATTCTAACAGTTCCATAACTAAGTACTGTTCTAGCTATTTTTCAATTATCTTCAAGCGGTATTTTCCTTGCATGTGATATTATAATGATATTGTTCAATAGTTTCCATATTCTACAGTAGGTGTATGTAAAAGTTTTTTCTCACATGTCAAAATTTATATTAGCAGGGGAGTTCTGGTGTCCTAGTGGTAAGGAGCTGCAACTACAATCCCAGAGGTGCACGGTTCGAATCCACCAGATGCTCTGCCGGGGAAGGAGGGACAATCTCCTCCTGTACCAGTCAGATCTGATTTGACGGTACACGCACACAAAAATAATAAAATAAATTAAAAAATAAAAATATCATTTAAAAAAAATTTATATTAGCATTTGGCTTATCAATTAAAAACACTGAAGAAACTTCTTAAATCTTCACAATGATCCTGTGAAATGTGAAGTTATTTCTATTTTGCAGATGAGAAAGATAAGGCTTGGAGAGGTTGAGTAACTAGTTCACGTGATCCAACCATATCTGAGCCCAAGATTCTGACACTGTTGAAATGTCTCTAGCAAAACTAACCCTATCTTTTGCCTATATCAAAGTTATGCCTATCTTTTGCAGAAGCTGTCTTTATGAGGAGGAATGTGGCATCAGGATTGGAGGAAGACTCATCAACAACCTGTGTTATGCAGATGACACAACCTTCCTGAAACTGAGGAAGGAACTGAAATGTTTGCTACAGATGCTCAAGAACTATAATCTTAAATATGGATTAAAGCTGAACATCAAGAACATAAAGATTCTCACCACTGAGCCAACTGGTAGCTCCATGATGGACGGGAAAGAGATTGAGGTTATAACAATTTCAGATTGCTTGGCTCCACAATCAACACGCTTGGCACCAGCAGTCAGAGAATCAAAAAATGAATTGCTTTGGGGAAATCTGCTGTCAGGGACCTCTCCAAAGTGCTACAGAGTAATAATGTCAGTCTAGGGACTAAGGTGTGCCTGATTCATGTCATGGTCTTTGCCATTACTTGCTATGCATCAGAGAGCTGGACAATGACTAAGGATGATAGAAGAAGAATTGCTACCTTTGAGTTGTGCTGGAGAAGAGTATTGAAGAGACTGCCAAGAGAACATATAGATCCTGTATTGTAGAGGGTGAAACCTAGTTTCTCCCATGGAGGCAAGGATTTTGAAGCTCTGTCTCACATACTTTGGGGCAGATGGCCAGGAGGGACCAGTCCTTGGTGAAGGACAGTCTGCTTGGAAGGCTGGAGAGACAATGAAGAAGAGGAAGATTCTAGACGAGATGGACTGACATAGTAACTGGGGTACTGGGGTTAGGTGTGTTAGAGTCAGTGAGACTGCCTCATGATAGGACAGGGTTCAGAGCTACTGTACACAGGGTCACTATGAGTCACGGCAACTTGAAGATACATAATCACCACAACAAAAGATTTTACTGTCATCAAAACCACCTGTACTAGTGAGTGAAAAAGCCCAAAATGAGTGGCAGGAATGATGGAGGTGGTTGTCTGCCACTATGGGTACCATGGTTCTAATTTCCTGTCTTTGTTCTTCCTGGAGGAATGAACAATGAGATTACAAAGATTAGAGGCCATATGTGAACAACAACAACAAAATCATTATCTCCTCAGAGCCCTGGGTTTTGCAGAGAGCACTTCCAAATGATGATGGTTTGCTTTAGGGAAACTACATATTATGTTTAATGGTGATGTTCTAAAACTATATCTCAAGTAAAATTAAAAAACTCCAGCTACTGGCTGGAGTTTTCTAAACTCACTATCAGGACATCAACAATACTCAACTCTTCATGGCCAAAAGACGAACAGTGACTAGTTTACCCAATGGAACTATTGTTCAAAGGTAAACTAATTCATATTCAAAATATCATGAGTTTAAATAATAGGCAAAAAAGAAAACTACCTTCTTCTTGTTGCTGAAAGCCCCATGGTATTTTTGTGATGCAGATAAAAGTCTGTTGGGAGTTCCCAGAGGTGAGGTTTTCCTTCGGTTGGATGAAAAACTCCCAGGAAGAGATTGATGGAATCTTGTCTATCAGCATCTAAAAGGCAAATATATATGTATTTCAGGATATTTGTTATTGAAAGTTAGAGAATGCATAAAGAATAACAACAAAGTAATACCTTTTAATTACGGTGTTGGTTAAAAATATTGCATATATTGTGGACTTCCAGTCTTAGAAGAAGTGTAGATAGCATGCTCCTTAGGAGAGGTACTGTAAGAATTTGCCTCACATATTTTGACATGCCATCAAAAGACATCATGTTCGCTAGTCAGCAGAAAAGAGTAACACCCTCAACAAGATGGATTGTCTCAAACATAGCAACTGTTATGAGGATGGAGCTGGATTAAGGAGTGTTCAGTTCTGACATACACAGGACAGTTACGAGTCAGAATCAATGACACCTAATAACGTTGTTGTTGTTGTTGTTATGTGCTGTCAAGTAGTTTGCGATTCACAGCAACCCTATGTACAACAGCCCAAAACCCTGCTCTATCCTGTGCCAATCTCATTGCTTCTGACACACCCAGCCCAATTACCCCAGTCACTGAATCAATCCACCTCATAGAGGGTCTTCCCCTCCTGCGCTGTCCCTCCACCCTACCAAGCATGATGTCTCTCTCCAAGGACCTGTCTCTCCTTACAAAATGTCCAAACTATGTCAGATGAAGCCCCAGAATCCTTGCCTCCAAGGAGTAGCCTGGTTTAACCCTCTCCAGGATGAATCTGTTTGTTTTCTTGGCAGTCCAGGGTACATTCAATACTCTTCTCCAGCACCACAGCTCAAAGTCATCAATTCTCCTTCTGTCCTCCCTAGTCATTGTCCAACTCTCTGATGCATAACAAGTGATTGCAAAGACCATGACCTGTATCAGGCACACCTTAGTCTCCAGAGAGACACTGTTGCTCTTGAGTACTTTAGAGAGGTCCCTAACAACAGACTTTCCCATCGCAATACGTTTTTGATTTCCTGGCTGCTGGTGCCAAGACTGCTGACCGTGGAGCCGAGCAAACTGAAGCTGTGAACAATCTCAATCTTTTCGCCATCCTTCCTGATGCTACCAATTGGTCCAGTGGTGAAAATTTTTGTCTTCTTGACATTGAGCCTCAGTCCATACTGAAGGCTGAAGTCCTTGACCCTCTGCAGCAAGTGCATAAGGTCCTCCTCAGTTTCGGCAAGCAGGGTTGTGTCATCTGCATAACGCAGATTGTTAACAGATCTTCTACCAATCCTGACGCCACACTTCTCCTCATAGAGCCCAGCCTCTCGGATAATCTGCTCTGCATACAGGTTGAAAAGGTAGGGAGATAGGACACATCCCTGGCGTACACCCTTCCCAATTTTGAACCATGTAGTGTTATCCTGCTCTGTTCTAACAACTGCCTCTTGATCTAAGTATAGTTTTCACATTAGCACGATTAAATGTTCTGGGATTCCCATTCTTCTCAGAGTCAGCCACAGTTTGTTATGATCCACACAGTCAAACGTCTTTTGCATAATCAATGAAACACAGACAGACATTCTTCTGATATTCCCTGCTTTCAGCTAAGATCCATCTAACACCAGCTACAGTATCCCTAGTACCACAACCCCTTCTAAACCCAGCCTGGACTTCCGTCAGTTCTCTGCTGATGGGCTGTTCCAGTCGTTTTTGGATAATCTTCAGTAGAATCTTGCTTGCATGTGAAATCAATGATATTGTTCTGTAGTTTCCACACTCAGTTGGGTCACCCTTCTTTGGAATGGGAACAAATATAGATCTCTTCCAGTAAGTTGGCCAAGTGGTTGTTCTCCAGATTTCTTGGCACAACTTGGTGAGCACATCCAGAGCTAATAACATTATCGAAGTTAATATAACTCTATGTAAAAACTGTATCTGAAAAAAATAGTATTTATGCTTCAGCAGTAGTATATTAAATAGTCCTTAAGATAGTCATTAAGATTTTGAACAGAATTAAACCATTGCTTCAAAAATGTGTACTTTTTGCTCCATCGCTCTTGTACTATGGCAAAGAGTGAACACAAATGACTTCTAGAATTGTATTGGGTCCGACTTGTGAAAATCTTTAAGAACTTCCTGAATACCTTAGATAGTGATGTTAAGGTTAAAATGAAACATGCTATTAGCATTTGCTAACTTATTTGAAAGGAATACATCTTTGTTTTATCACAAAAGCACATCACAGGCTTCATACTAAAATGACCCAACTCTTAGCTCCAATTGTGTTATACAAACTTGAACAAGGCAGCTGCATAGTTCCCACTTTCAATCTCTGAAAAGAGATTTCTTTAACAGAGACAATGTTTACCACATTTTTCCCCCTTCAACTGAGAGCCTCACCCATCCTCTCTTTGTGTGTCTGATAATAAAGGTGGAAAGGGCTTATGAATAATAGTCTCATTCTAACTATCCAACCTCCAAAATTATCTTGTCTAAACACACTAAGTACAAATAAAACTGAGTATATGTTTTCTTTCTTCTCCCTTTTCTTAATTATGTTTTGGTAAACATTGTAATAAGTACTGAAGTCTTCTCATGAACCAACCATTCTTCCTCTGTGACTCTCCTGCATAGCATCTGCATTCTTTCTTCCCATCCCCCTCTCCATTCTTGTCTTGGAGCCTTACATATTCAAACTTGGGGCAGACATCTACAATATAAATTTAGCCCCTTATTATTTATCAGAAGCTATCAGACTAAAACCACAGCAGAAATGACTGCTTCTGGAACAAGATAATATTATCATAAAATCAAAATGTCTTTCAGTGGTTTTAGTAAACACAAGTATTACTGAAATTAGCAACAGTGTCCTCATTGGGTTATTTGGTCATTTTGGGAAAAGAAATGAAATGGAATATGGTACATCAAATAGGTATTCCAGTTACTAGTATTTTGACAGGAAGCATTTCATTAAAATAGTACTTACCTTTTGGACTAAAGTAAAATATAAAAGGAATATGTTCATATGCTGATTACATTTAGAATCTTTTTTGTCATTTTTTAAGTAAAAGTATCAAATACTAAATGATGTACATCTTGCTACCCAGATTTCACCCTCTTCATACAATTCAAAAGTAAACATACTACTTGTAGGGCCATTACATCCTTTCTGCTTCTTACACACCCTTAAAGGTTCACTCTATGGAGTACCCAAACCAATACCATTTAGAGGAGTTTTCCACTTTCAACCATGTTCTCAAAGCCTTCCTCTCTCTCTTTAAACATAGTAGAGATAATCCTCAGGGTATGAACAAGTTTTGTTCCTAAGTGTCTTTGAGTAAAATTTGTAGCTAAGTGAAAACACGTGTATGCAGTCTTTATGTAGCCTTACTTGAATGCAAGGAAAGAGCTCTAGTGATGTTTTGGCTACATTATTAGCTTGCTAACCAGAAAGTAAGTGGTGTAAACCTTCCAACCACTCCACAGGATAAAGAGAAAGCAATCTTCTTCTAAACAGATTTTTCCGTCTTTGGCAGTTCTACTCTGTCCTACACCATCACTGTGAATGGGAATAAACTTGATAGCAGTGGGGTTGGTTGTTCAAAGCATTTTCTATGTTTTAAAAACTGCATCTAGAAAAGCTACGGTATATTCACATAATGGAATATAATATGATGCAGCGTTGGAAAACAATGAATTCGTAAAAAAATTACACAACACGGGAGAGCCTGGAGGACATGTGCTGAGTAAAATATCTCTGTCACAAAAGGACAAATACTGCTTAACACTGCTGTTATTAAATGAGACAGACATAGAGGGGTTAGGGAGAGAATGGATAAAGAATAGATATATAATGAACACTGCTTTAGAACAGCTGAGGGGAAAGACTGTCCAAAAGGAATATATGATTACCATTATATGTATGAGGAAAAACCTGGATCAAGGGGTGTATTGTGCAGTGGGCTAGGGGTCGGGGGGAGGTGGGAAGAAAATGTACTACAAATAAAAAATTAAAACATTTTTGATATTTAGAAAAAGCTGCATCTGCAGCGAGTGAAGATGATTGTGATGAAATGTTTGTTGTGAATAATGGTTGGTTAAGTGTTTTCAAACTAATGACAGATTAAGTATTATTAAGGAGCAAGTATAAACTGTCTTGCAAGGTGTACAGTCACAACCCAAGGACTCACTGAAGCAGCCTTTAATTTTTAGCAACTATGTTTAAATGTAAGCTGTGAGAAAAATAAATACTACAATGGATCAGAGTAAAGATTTCTAGAATGCACTGTTACTGTTGTAACTTAAACTACGCTTCTAGCATTAATGGCTATTTATTAAGTTTGGGCTATAAGGTCAACCCTGAAGAACTAGATGTTCTTCTACAGCTACTTTTGACTGTAAATAAGACAGTCACTTCCAAGTAGATGGTAGTGCTATGCTGGATACAGACAAGAGCCTGAAACACATATTCACTGTAGTTAGAGATAAAAGGGGATAAAATGATCAATTCTGTTTACACTCAGTTATGTATTAAAGGAAACATGAATACTGATCATTCAAACTCCTTTCAAACAGATAAACATAAACCAATTTTATTATTCATTCTATTTCAATAGAAAGCTCTGGTAGTAGGGAGTTGTGCTGCTAACCCAAAGTTTGCACTTTCTTGGCACTAGCAGTTAGGAAATCAAAAGATGAATTGCATTGGGGAAGTCTGTTGTCAGGGACCTCTCCAACGTGCTAAAGAGCAATGATGCTAGTCTAGGGACTAAGGTGTGACTGATCCAGGCTATGGTCTTTGCAATTACTTGCTATGCATCAGAGAGCTGAACAAGGACTAAGGATGACAGAAGAATCTATGCTATTGAGTTCTGGTGCTGGGAAAAAGTACTGAACATACCACGGATGACCTGGAGAATAAATAGGTCTTGGAGAGGGTGAAACCAAGTTTCTCCTCAGAGGTGAGTATTTTGAAGATCTGTCTCAAATACTTTGAGTATGTGGCCAGAAGAGACAAGTCCTTGGAGAACATCACACTTGGAATAGTGGAAGGACAGCATGGGAGAGGAAGACTCTGGATGGGATAGATTGACACAG